AGTGTGTTTTAACTTTTTTTTACAGTTTTATTACGTTTCCAAAGGTGCTATAAACTGAATTACAATATATTCTATCATAACTGTACAATACAATCATATTGTAAATGGGGAAAAAGGCCATATATTTACATATTTGTTATACAACAAATTTACCATCAAAACAGACATTGAATCCATTGTGTTTACAATGTTTTCTCAGGTTCCCGGAAACTTGTGGCTTAAAGAAATTCCTGAGTTTCCCACTTGTAATTACAACTTTGAGGTGGTGTTTAATTTGTATTACGATCTTTTGTAATTCGAATGCACTGTTAAATTTCTACAGCCACCATATGTTATGGTTTCTCTCATTGTTCATTTTTAATAAATGGATCGTTTCCCTCACCCTTATAATGTCTTTGGCTGAAACTTGCCAAATTTTCACACTATTTAAAGGGATAGTTCACCCAAAAATTAAAATTGTCTACATTTACTCATTCTCAAGTTTGTCCCCATTGACTTCGACAGTATGGAAAGAAAAAATAATACTATGGAAGTCAATGGGGACCAGAAACTATTTGGTTACTCACATTCTTCAAAATATCTTCTTACTTCTTTGTGTTCAACAGAAGAAAGAAACTCATACAGGTTTGGGAAACTTGAGAATGAGTAAACTATGAGAAAATTTTTATTTTTTCAGGATTATGTTTTAATAATATATTTAAAATCAGCAATAAAATGGAAGTCATAAATTAAGCTTCTTTAGGTCAAATCATGCTAAAAACATGCAACCAGTTAATGTACATGCAGACAAACTTTCTCAGAAAAGCATTTGGCTTTTGTAACTGTAAGGTGGGACTTCCATTTCTGGAGTGTTACAAATGTTTCTATTGATTTTTAAGATGCATTTGTAAGTGGTCCATGTCCTTCTTTTTATCACAGTTGAAGCTTGAAATATTCATACAGCATACAGATTTTGGAAACTACACTCGATTACATGTAAATCAACCAACACTTAGAAATCAACATTATACCAGATTTTCTGCATTTAAGCTGTCCCGGTTTTACCGCATCGCTCTACAGTAACTGTTGCTGTGAATAAAACCACTGTGGGTGGTGCATCATTAAGTAAATTAAACGCTACAATTAGTCACAATACAAACAAGTGCTTTGCAAATGCGAGAAAAGACACAAATGCACAGCATTCTGAGGTGAATTACAGATTTGTAATCTCGAAATGAGTTTATCATGGTTCTTGCAATGAAGTTTATACATGACACATCCTTTGAGCCTTGGAGGTCAAACCACCAGTGCTTATCATTCACTGAATGTGAGGTTGCAATTACTGTGGAGGTAAGCTGAGTGTGCACCTTGGGAAACCGAGGCCTATTTCTACCGCAACACAGATAACTCTGCATCCCTGTGGACCACAGCAATCTACTGGCACAGAGCAAGCAGTCATTTAATGTTGCTGGAAGAATGAAGCTGAGGAAGGCTGGAGTTGCCGTTTACCACCGGCGGGATGACGTAACTTGCACTGCAGTGGAGCAAATTCAGATAGCACTCAGCGTTTGCTGGAGAAAAGCAGAGAGAATTTGTAGGAATGTGCAAAACTGGGTTTAGGGAATCAAATTCAATCATTTGTTCACTTATGTGGCATAATTAGTTAGCAAGTTCAGTTGATTGCCGAAAGGTTGGAGGTTGAGCCATCAAATGAAGCTTTTGAATCTTAATCAAATCAAGGAGATTGTAATAAAGACTCAGTTCTGTTCAATGCTTCTAAAGCAATACCAAGAACACTGATTGGAAACAAAGGAATAGTTCACCCAAAAATGAAAATTTGCTGAAAATGTACTCAGCCTCAAGCCATCCAAGATGTAGATGAGTACAGATTATATAGGAACAGATTTATAAATTTAGCATTACATCACTTGCTTACCAATGGATCCTCTGCAGTGAATGGGTGCCGTCAAAATGAGAGTCCAAACAGCTGATAAAAACATTACAATAATCCACAAGTAATCCATACAACTCCAGTCTAGCAATTAACATCATGGGAAATTTCACTTGTAAACAGTGCTTGATCTGTGCACATTTCTCTCCTGATTCAGACAATACAGTTTTTTACTAAACTAAACTAGTGTCACTTTAATGAAGACTGTAGTTTAATCATGACAACTCTCGGAAGATTTTTGCATGGTGATGGATATGACCATGTTAATGTATTTGAAGAGTTTCATGACTAAACTATATATTTAAATTAGTTGTGCTGATACTTTTAGTTTGTCACTTGGCCACACTCTTATAACACCAGATCTTTCCCTTGTTAAACTACAACACATTTCCGGTAGAAATGTTAAAAACAAATCCGATGTGCTAACATTTGAGATCATTGAGCCAACATGACTACAATAAATCAAAAACACTACTACTGCACAAAAACACTAGCTGAAAATGGCAGAAAATCTTCTTTTTCAGGATTATATTTTAATAGCTGAAAATGGCAGAAATAAATCCTACGCCCAGGGATTATGGCATCTGAAAACACAAATGAATCATAAAAATAAGAGTTGACACTACGTCAAAACACCACGATGTTCTCTTATTTCTCTCTCTTTTTTTTTTAACCTGCAAGCAGTTTCAAAAAGCTTTTTTTAGACCTAAGAAGTCAAGAAACGAAAAAGAGACACAATTCAAAGTGCTCAGAGGCACATAATCCTCAAACACTTAAAACCTACAATTTCAGGTCAGATTTCAGCTGGAAAGGCACTAAACTTCATCCTAGCAATGAAAATCCTAAAATAATCCTGACATTGAACAATCCGGCATTCCAATAATATCCCCGTCTTGACGTACCTCAGCACTACAACGAAAAGATTAAAGTCTGTTGGTGTCACATGCATCCTAAGATTTGCATAAATAACTGAAAATCGCACATTAAACATCCCTATTAATAGGTTTGATGCTAAAACAAAACTATGATGTGCAAGAGTTTGGTGCGAGGGACAAGAGCCGATTTCATCTCATTGTGAATATGAAATATGGAAGAAACAAGGGGAAGAGAGCAAGAGAGAGAGAGAGAGAGAGAGAGAGAGAGTGTCTGTGCTATTGTTAGTGCCTGGAGAGTCTGACACACAGTTAATGGTTGAAGCTCCTCCATGCTGTAGGCTTCAGGCTGCTAGGCACATCAACAGTCTTTATTGTTCCCACCTCTTCTACCCTTCTTTCATTTTCCTGTTCCATCTCCTGCTTGTCTGGGCTGATGTGCCCTGCTGAACATAATTTGATGTCGCTGAGGTTGTATCTGAAAAGTCTTCTAATAAAGCTGCTGTTATTTATGAACAAAACGCATTTGCAAGCTTGAAGTGGAATAAAGAGGTCCTCTACTGAATATGGAGTCACTCCTCTTCTGAGTGATTCTGTACATACTGAATTCAGTTATTTATGGGCAGTGCTGGGGAAAGTTACTTTTAAAAGTAATGCATTACAATGTTGTGTTACCCCCTAAAAAAAGTAACTAATTATTAGGGGTGCTCCTATTGATCGGCTACCTATCACTATCGGCCAATAATCACGTTGGGATGTTTGATCGGCGGTCCCTAAAAGGCCGATCTCAAAAAAACGATCTCAAGCTGATGACGCTGCCGTGAGAGGTTTGGCATGACATGCAGCGGC